TCCGCACATACCCTCCAAATGACCCCCCGTGTAGCCCTTGATTATGGACGCCCTAAACCCTGAACCCTAAACCCTCAACTCTAAACTCTAAACCCTAAACCCTAAACCCTAAATCCCAGCTCCTATACAGACTGCTTCATGCTTCAGAGGACAGGTCCTGGAACGCGTACACGATGCCGTCAATGATCTGCTCCTGAGCCCCGAGTTGCTCCATAGGGAGTTTAGGGCTTAGGGCCTAGGGTTTAAAGTTTAGGGCTTAGGGTTTAGGGTTTAAAGTTTAGGGCTTAGGGTTTAGGGTTTAAAGTTTAGGGCTTAGGGTTTAGGGTTGAGAGCTTAGGGCTTAAGGTTTAGGGCTTAGGTTTTAGGGTTTAGGGTGTAGGGTTTAGGGCTCAGGGTTTAGGGTTTTGAGCTTAGGGTTCACGGCTCCTCGGGTGGCTGTAAAAAATCCAGCACGTATCCCATGCGTTAGGCGAAGTTCACATCAAAAAACGTTCACCAATCAACCCCCCCCTTAAGGGTCCAACGTACATAAGTAGCATATATTCGGAGAAACCTAGCCTCAGACATACTGATATCTGGGTTGCTGTTAAGGAACTTAATTCAAGTCATTATATTGTGGGGAACCATATTACTGACTCTACATATATATTTATCTATACATACCCCTTATGGTAAAAGAAGTTCCTTAACAACAACCCACTTGTAAGGAACCCAAACTTTACATTTCTTATCATAATGGTCCCTTCGGGCCCAGGTTTATGCTTCCGCGCTTCACGGTCTGCAGGTCTGATCCATGAGATTTAGGCTTTGGGCTTAGGGCTTTGGGCTTCGGTTTTATGGCTTAGGGTTTGGGGTTTAGGGCTTAGAGTTTGGTGCTTAGGGTTTAGGGCTTCGTCAACCATTTGGCTGGGAACATCTAGAAGCTACTGTGGCTCCTGCTTAGAGATGGCCTCTTCCTACCAGCATAACCACACAAGAATAAACACAACATGAAACACATAGTACAGAAACTACTGAAGTCCATCAGCAAATCCGACCCTGCAACCTTTTCTGTGCGGTGTAACATGTCTTCTAGGAGCATGCCCTCCAAAATCGACGAACTTCTCTGCTACAGCATCGCTGCAAGTCCTTATTTGGATGAATCGCTCCCCACTTCAGTCTTTAGTGTATCCCCTCTTCTGTATGTTCATTCATCCGTTCGTTCACTCATTCATTCACTCACTCATTCACATTCATTCATTCATTCATTCATTCACTCACTCATTCATTCACTCACTCATTCATTCAGTCATTCATTCATTCATTCATTCATTCATTCATTCATTCATTCATTCATTCCATTCATTCCATTCATTCCATTCATTCCATTCATTCCATTCATTCCATTCACTCATTCATTCACTTATTCATTCACTCACTCATTCACTCACTCATTTACTCACTCATTCACTCACTCATTCATTCATTCGTTCGTTCGTTCATTCGTTCATTCATTCATTCATTCATTCATTCACTCCCTCACTCACTCACTCATTCATTCATTCATTCATTCATTCATTCATTCATTCATTCATTCATTTCATTCATCTATCCATTTACTCATTCATTCATTCATTCATTCATTCATTCATTCATTCATTCCATTCACTCATTCATTCATTCATTCATTCATTCATTCATTCATTCATTCATTCATTCATCTATCCATTTACTCATTCATTCATTCATTCATTCATTCATTCATTCATTCAGTCATTCATTCATTCATTCATTCATTCATCTATCTATTTATTCATTCATTCATTCATACATTCATTCATTCATTCATTCACTCACTCACTCACTCAGTCATTCATTCATTCATGCATTCACTCATTCATTCATTCATTCATTCACTCATTCATTCATTCATTCATTCATTCATTCATCTATCCATTTACTCATTCATTCATTCATTCATTCATTCATACATTCATTCATTCACTCACTCATTCATTTATTCGTTCGTTCGTTCATTCGTTCATTCATTCATTCATTCATTCACTCATTCATTCATTCATTCATTCATTCATTCATTCATTCATTCATTTCATTCATCTATCCATTTACTCATTCATTCATTCATTCATTCATTCATTCATTCATTCATTCATTCATCCATTCGTTCATTCATTCATTCATTCATTCATTCCATTCACTCATTCATTCACTCACTCATTCATTCACTCACTCACTCATTCACTCACTCATTCACTCACTCATTTACTCACTCATTCGCTCATTCATTCATTCGTTCGTTTGTTCATTCGTTCATTCATTCGCTCCCTCACTGACCCACTCACCCACGTCCAATGCCATGGCAACCCACCGAGGGGCCCAACTGTGTGCCGGCTTGTGCTTGAAAATATGTAGCAATCCCAACTCCAATCCTGACCGAAGCCCGACGAAGCGTTAAAAGAAAACACTCTAAAACCCCAAGGCATAAGCCCTCAACCCCGAACCCTCAACCTTAGCCCCAGGCCCCACGCCCTATATCCTCAACCCTAAACCCGAAATCCCTCAACCCCAAACCCTTCAACCCCAAACCTTAGGAGGACCCCCCCCCTGTAATAGTGGTATAATAAGAACATAAGAGGACCCTAATACAATCCCTATTATCCCTTATAGTCACTATTACTGGGTGTGGGGTCCACCTAACCAAACCCTAAACCCTAAACCCCAAACCCTTCAACACTGAACCTCAAACCTTGTGAGCCGGCCTCGAGGCGCGAGTCGATATCTGCCACGCCCAAGTTACCGATGACCTCGTGCAACTGGGTTGCTGTTAAGGAACTTAATTCAAGTTACTATATTGGGGAAACCCTATTATTTATATATATACCCATTATGGTAACTTAAATTAAGTTCCTTAACAGCAACCCAGGCAACTGCTTCTTTGTTGGATGCAAAACGGGTTTAGGCTTTAGAGGGTTTGGGGTGTAGGGTGTTTAGGGTTTAGGGGGTCTAGGGTATAGGGGGTTTAGGGTGTGGAGTTTGGACTTAGAATTTGGGGGTTATTTGCTCAATAGTGGAGATCCGGATGGACCAGAAAATCGTGTTACTGGAAGGAGGTCTGAGCGTGCTTGGATTAAGTTCTTTCTGCTTCGTTGTTTTCATCGGGCTCCTGGTTTAAGGTGCAGGGCTTACGGTTTCAGAGTATGGTGCAGTTTATTCGTGATCCGTCGGCCTGCAAACTAGCACGAATTGTTTGGCACAGCCCTAACCCTCAAAAACAGACCTTAGAACAATCATGTGAGATGACCAGGGTGGTAAGGCTGAAGATTTAGAGTGCGGGGCTCTATGCTATAAGACTTGCATGTAAGGGCTTGGAGGGTTCCGAGGTTCTGTCCTAAGGGCCTCGTATTGTAGTGGCTTTGTTGGTCAGTCACTTCTGAGACAAGGACAAAAAGAATCTTCCGACTCTTCCTAGACCCTAGACCCTAAACCCTAGACCCTGAACCCTAAACCCTAGAACCTAAACCTTAAACCCTAGACCCTAAACCCTAAACCCTAGACCCTAAACCCTAAACCTTAAACCCTAGACCCTAAACCCCACAGCTTCCATCCCGGAACCCTCAACTACAGACAGCCTTTTGGCTTGAGGTGTCTCTGGCGTCTTGCACACTGAGGGCATGGGGTTTCAGGCCTCCTTACTGGGGCTTACTTGGAGGTCCATTTTACTCATAACCTACTTAGTAACTGTAGTTATAACCCTATTAAATCTAGGGTAACTGTAATTATGGGACTTATGATTAAGTCATAACTACAGTTTCTAAGTAGGTTGTAAGTACAACGGACCTCCAAGTAGTAGGGAATAAGCGGATACATTACAAACCCAGACCCCTGACTACTAAACCCCGTCCCCTTAATAGGGATTATGATAGAGATCCGAATCTTAAGGCCCTTAAGAGGAGGGGGTTTACTAATCATGGGTCTACATCACGGATTACATCAGTATTTGATTGCCTTACTCCCTGCTAAGCACCAGTAAGCCTAAGGGCATGGCCGCTAAAGAGCGATCTAAGGGGCCATGCTGAGAGTTACGCTACCTGTTTCCTTCCATCTATCCCATGCTGCCCAGCCGTCTACCGCGAAAGCGGTTCAGGTTTTGGAAGTCTTTAGGTTTTATGGAGTGTTGGGCGCATACATGTGTCTAGGACAGAAGGACTATGGCAAAGGAACACAAAACGTAGGCAACTAGGTGTCTAGCATACATTGGAGGAATGCCTTTACAAGGCTTGGTGCAGGGACACCAGTTTCGTAACCCAGAAACCCAAAAAGGAAAGCCCTCAATCCCAAACGAAAGCCCCAAATCCCTGAACACTCTATACGATATTCCCAGTCCTTAAACTACACATCAAAATCTCAACCCCCCAAAACTCTAAGATCCACTCTCAACCCCATCCGTGACACTCACCATGCGGTATGACTTTTCGCAACCAAATCCATGGAAATTCTACGGGCTCAGTACCATTTGTATCAGCCCTGTGCCCGCTCCAAACCTCCCTTTCCTGCATCCTTCCTCGTGCTGGCGGGCTGGCTTAAATGTTCACTTTCCCTAAATTCCCTAAACCCTAGACCCCTGAACTCCTAAACCCGAAGCCCTGGGCCTTGTCGATGGTCTCCATGACCATCTTGCGGTAAGGCTCTGAGGCATCCTTCAGATCCTCCAGGATGATTTGAGTTTCGAAGTTGTGGGAAATTTAGGGGTTTAGGGTTTAGGGGAACTAGGGTTTTGGGGAATTTAGGGGTCTAGGGTTTTAGGGTTCTGGAGTTTGGGGAGATTGGGGGATTGGGGTTTAGGCCATTCAGGGTTTGGGGAATTCAGGAATTTAGGGGTTTAGGGTTTAGGGAATTTAGGATTTAGCATTTAGGGTGTAGCATTAATGGTTGAGGATGTTGAGGTTTCTATTGGTTTGGGTATTGCCGCTTGAAGGTTTCGGGCCTCTCAAGTTCCAGGTTTTGAGGGCTTGAGGGCTCCAGGTGTTTGTCTCGCTGACCCTCCTGCTTAGCGTCTGCTGGACCTATACCATCAGCCATCATAGCCCCCAAACCTCGCTGAAAGTGTGAGTTGCTCGAAATCCCGCTATCATTGAATCATCCTTAAGGAGAGACTCGTAATCCTTGTAGGAATCCTTTCTTCAGGACAGTAATCTGGGAAGGGTAGGTAGCCGGCTGCTGCCGACCGCAGCTGCAGCAACGAAAGGGCATGTCTTTGCCACACCCTGAACCCTAAACCGCGCAGCCTGGGGGCTCGCCCGGGCGTTGACACACCTGCCCCCTGAAAGAACGTCGCGCGAAGCGCCATGTCGTGCATAGACGATGGCAAGAAGGAGTATTTACTGCATCCGGAGACGTAGTCGCCGTTATGAACCAACTTCTCTCCAGGCCCTAAACCCTCAATGCAACTGGCTAAGTTGGTTCTTCGTCGCTTATAACGGTTAACGTTCTAGGGGCCCGGCCTGTGTAAGGGTTTGTATACTGGCCTGAGATTTCCTTGCCTTGCCGTGGACCATGGACTCTCCCTGAGGCGTTTAAGGGAAGCTGTACACCGTCTAAAAGCATAACAGATGCAGGGAGGATTCCTCAACATCGGGGTCCTAGCTACACGTTTGAGGCTGTCAAGGGGATTACGATTTCAGGATACTAGGGTGATCACTTAGAGAAACTCCCATGTGAGCTTGAGTCCCAACGCGATATCCATGTCCCAGAATGCATGGACTCTAGCAACCCGTAAACACACCCAGTGGACCTACTCGGTAAGCATACAACAAGGCTGCGATCCCCTGAAAAGGCCGTACAAAAACCCTGTAAGGACAGGTTCCTTTGAAGTAGGCTTTCAGCAAGTCCTCCACAATTCGTCCAATAATGTCCGCGCCGCCAACCTGCTGTTTGGGGGATTCCCAAAATATGGGCTACCGTTTCAGGGGTCCCTACATTCGGGATTCTAGTGTTTAGTTGGTCTATGTTGGCTCCCCACTTTTTGGAAACTAATAGTTGGAGTCCCTTCCAGCTGTTCGGTTTCTACACCGCTTAAAGAAACCAAAAAAGCTCGCCTGAACACCATGACTGGATAGGTTGATAGGGAACCCATACCACAACTGAAATCTGGACCCTAAACCCTAAACCCTAGGCCCTAGGCCCTAAAGTGATCGTTGTTTATTCCTGGGCTGCTCTTGACGACAGGGTTTGGAGCTTGGGGTGTAGATCTCGGATTGCCAGGGGTTTCGCGGTGCTTGACAGGTTTAGGGTTTAGGGTTTATCCAGCTTTCATTGTGCGACATTTCTCTCAAGTCTTAGGAGGGCAGTCGGAAAAGTCAGAAGTTTCTATTGTAATTTGGCCAATCTCCATGTACGTAGCTTCTGCACAGCACCTTTCTCGCAGTAAAGGCATTGTACCAAGTCCTTCTCTTCCTGGCAGCAAGGATGCCGGGCAATTACCAGCCTAAGCCGATACCACCCCACCTTGCCCTATCCTGCCCCAACACCCGCCCTGCCATGCCCTGTGCCCTCTATTTTCCTTCCCTCCCCCCACCCTTCCTCCCCTACCCTACCCTGCCAAGGGTGGGCTGGGTGACCGCAAATCACCCTGGCCATAAACTGCCCGAAGTCTACAACTGAATGTAATCACCCTACAGGGGGCGCCCCCAAAGTATGTAACATAATGGCCTTTATGGCCATTATTAGGGGTTTAGGGCCATTATTTCACATAATTTTGGGGTTTAGGTAGAATTCTGTGAAACATAAGAAAACCGAGCACAGGTATGAGTAGCCTGGGACCTATAAGAGATACCAGGGGACTTAGAGGACTGATCAGTCAACTTTTACGGCACCAAACCTGATTGTTACACTTCACAAGACCTAAATGGGGCTTAGTAGGGAAGAAGGGAATTCATTATATGGGGTTTATATGCACCATAGTCTATAGTCTAAACTCCTGGTATCCCCCTCAATAACTTCTATAACTAGAATTCATACTCGCCTGTAGAACCCCCTTTAAGGAGTTTAGATCCTAAACCCTACGCCCTACCGTATTCCGGAGTAAAGCCAGTAAGAAAACTTAAAACCTCGCACAAACTTCAGCTCCACATCGTCGAACTTGCCCAACCCATTACAATCCAGTTTAGGGTTTAGGGTTTCAGGGCTTCAGGTCCCAAATGCTAGAACCTGAATGGTTTTGCTGCCTAGAACCACATGGACCCTATACCCTAAACCCTAAACCCTATACACTAAACCCCTAAACCCGAAACCATCTCTATAGACCCCCATAACCCTATACACCGAATAGATACCAATAACCACCTTAGAGGTCCGATTCTTTGGGCACTTGAACCCTTAGG